ATTTTAAAATACAGCCATTAAAAACACCTCAAATACATTTTCACCATTAACACGAAAAACCTGTTTTCTCGATCCATTTGTTCTCAATATTCTTCTAAATATATATGATTTAGAAGTTTTTAAAAAAATCTGGCAAGGGGTTGCGTTACTTTCTCGGTTGTTATAAAATTCTATTTTAAAATAACTTTTATATTAATACAATTAAAAAAATTGCGTGTGGCGCCATCTGTTATGAGATTTTGTTATAAAAATATTTTATATTTTTAATTATTATCGAATGGCAAAATGCTTAATTCTGTGGGTAGGGATAAGTTTTGTAGAATATTTTAAATGCTAATAATGAATAATATGTTCATTAATTAATTAATTAATTGACGTCCGGACCCGAGATAACTCTGGCAGGTTACATAGCGTTACAGAAAACGCGGTCCTTTAGGCCCCCCAATTTTTTTTTGGATTTTTGGAATGTTTTTTAAGTCTCCAAATGTTTTCAAAAATTTTTTCCCGCTCGAAAAAATTTTATTCCGATTTTAATTTACCTTTAATGACGCACAATTAACGCTTAATTGTTTTTTAATGCGAATTTTTTAATCAAATTTAATTAATTGTTCTAAAGTTGTAGTTCACGGATTTTACTTCGGTAAACTTATTTAAAGCTAGTTTCTGATGTCAAAAACGACCTCCAATAGTTTTTTAACTTTTTAAATTAATATGCAGTAGAGCATCGATTAATTATCCGACTCTATTGGGGACTCAGGTTGGTCGGATAACTGAAAAAAATCAGATAATCGAAAAGAATGAAAAAAAATACATTATTAGCATAGTATATTGGTATATCCCACGTAATTAGTATATTAGTATATCGCTATTAACCAACTTCGTGTTGAATTTTCATCGATGTTAAACTTTTTTATAATAATAATCGTCGCTATTGTATCGTTAAAAATTATTTTTAAATTATTTTATTGCTCACAAAACAAAACAACCACTCATAATTAGAAAATTAAGTCGCGTTTAAATACTGGCCTCTCTTCAATGGTCGAGCCGTTGATGCCAGCTAAAACACGCAAAAATTTAACGAAAATAATATTAAAGTAGCCAAGACATAGCCAAATATTGTAGTGCCACATCACTAGCGGACATTTGAAATTTGCCGACTAGAACAGTCGGTTAACCGATGTGACGGTTAATCGGGGGTCGGATAATCGATGCTCTACTGTATATTATTTTTAGATAACACATAAACTGTTTAAAGTCATTATAAATTACGACATAGATGAGTTCGCTTTTTATTAATAAATTGTAACATTAACACTCCGGTGTTAACGTCACAATTTAAGGAGACAAAAGTATTTATTTATTTTCGAGATTTCATTAAGGTTGTGTAAACAAAAGCACTGCACAAACATCAAAGTTCTGTATACTTACAAGAAGTTTACTCAGAAACACAAAATTGACAAAATTAATTTCTTTTTATTATGGAATCTGGTCTTTCTGATCTTAGTGTCGACGCCAACGAAGTTCGAAAGTGCTCTACATTAAATTCAGACAAGTTTGGGCTTGATGTGTTGTTACAATTTCGCTTAATTTTCTGGAGACTACACATTTTTGTAAATAGTTGGTATGCGGATCTAACGGACTCCAAATTGCTTTAAAACAGAAACTGTATTTTTTGCGCAATGAGCAATTGAAAAAAGTTAGTCGTATTTCTTCGAGGATGCGGTCAATCACTTGTTTATTTTTCTGTATACTATCATCTGTACTGATGGCTTAAAAGTAAACGACAATGTCTCTTTAGATTGATTGTTCCTTTGTTATCTACCAGGATGGCACTGAATCATCCCACATGCAGTTCCGTTTAGGGGAACACTGCTTCGTCTTTCATGCGGAGAAATCAGAATCAGATAGAATCATCAACGACAGCGAATCTGCTGCTTCTGACATTCACAATCTTGTTTGTAATTCGGACAACAAATTTCATCATCTAAACTCGTGCGCGTCGAGGAATGACTGGTAACGGACAAGCAGATGCACTGCTAAGGTTGCTGCCTCTAACAGCATTCTCCCAACTACTTATAGTGATGTGAATAACAACTTGTTGTAAAGACTTCTATGAGAGGATTCTATGCAACTATGGCAGCGAAATTGGGACCACTGCATGGATTGTGTCACTTGTCAGTATTTGCCTAATGCCTAATCGGTTCTCCCCAAACCACAATATCACGTAATTCTTAACCAACTATATACAGTTAGCTAGCTATTTCTATACCGTGTTTCCCCGAAAATAAGACATCCGCAGATAATAAGACCTAGCACAGATTTTGCTTAATTGCGAAATATAAGACCTCCCCCTGAAAGTAAGACCTAGCGAAGTTTTTTTAGTCGTAACGGTCATCGACAGATGGTTGAAAGTGGCCGTTGGCTTTTTGAAAGTACAGCCACTGATTGGTCAGCAGACAATTACGCCACACGGCATGATTTGCATAAGGCTATGGCTTGGGAATCACAGATTTGCATAACGTTACGGCTGATGATGGCTAATTGGTCGGCCGGGAATCACGCCACATGACATTTGCATAGTGCTACGGTTCA